TAAATATGCAGCACGAGTTATATTTCTAACTCTGCTAACTCCGCTGAACTAGCTGATAAAATCTTCCTTTGATTCACTACGCGATTACAACTTGACACTCAAATTAACCGATCACATTTTACTGATGCAGAAGAGGTGCGCGTGCACACACACACTGAGAGGGAGTGCACCGTTCACCGGGATATGGTAAAAGAAAAACGCAGTTAGTAGGTGTATAATTTAAACTAGGCTATTAAGCCAACACTAACAGTAGCTGCTGTTTGTTTTCATACTGCTGCTCTCCTTCTAGTCACTTCTGAACTTCTTTCTTAAAGCTCAGGATGACAGGTTGCCTGATATCACAAAGAGAGAAAAACAAGCCCCTCTATAAGCACATGGCAAATGTACTGTTTGTAAAAATTTGTAAATAAGCAAATGTACCAGGGAAAACATTTAAACATAACTAGCATTACCATCCTAGAAAAATTAAAAGCAACCAATTTATTATGAACAGAACAGCTCAATATAAAACTATTATATTGCCACCAGCCTCATGCCATTCTCTCACGTCGGCCGCATCCTGCTCGCCACAAAAGGTTTTTATGTATTAATAAAAGGATTATTATTACAAGGATTTTTTTTGTTGATTTATTTGAAACTCAGATATCATGTAAAATATCTTTTTGAATTTGAGTTTTGAATCGAATCGCAGGAAATTCTGAAGAATCGAAAATCGAATCAATGGCTTAAGAAATTGGTATCGTATCATATAGGCTCCGATTTACACCCCTACTAACAGCCGATATGGTTAAGACACTAAACATGTTTGTTGCCCGACTTTGATTGTAACCAGCATAAAAGGTCTGTGTGCCGCTGTTCAAATGAGTACAGCTGTTTTGTTCCATATTTGGCACATAAACAAACTCTTGTTAACATTTTATCAAAGAAAACCATAGCATGATAATTACCGTTAACATTTATCACCAAGCACTAAGTGAATTCATGATCAAAACAAAAACCTGCAAACAGGCAAAAAAAATCAACTCAAGTCAAAGTAAAGTTTTCATAATATTTCAAGACTTAATTTTACATTTGCATCCCAAGTAAGCATATCTCAATTTAAAGATTTAGATTTTATGCTGGAAAACAGGAAACTTATACTGGAAACAGGATATAATGTTTGCAAAATAACATGAAATTATGACTTTCTGCCTTATTCAAGATTATTTCAAGTCTTAATTTGAGTAAGGGTGAAAGAAAGACTTGTGACCTATTCAAGACCAGCAGAAACCCTCAGTAGGTCCACAAAAGACCACTAATATAAAATTTCAGTGAAGAAAACCAACCACTGTTGTAGCAGAACTTACCCATGAAACCAGTGGGGTAGGTAATATCAGTGCGGACCTTGCCATCGATCTTGATGAACCTCTGCATGCAGATCTTCTTGACCTCATCTCCGGTCAGAGCGTACTTGAGACGGTTCCTCAGGAAGATGATGAGGGGCAGGCACTCCCTCAGTTTGTGAGGACCGGTGGAGGGACGAGGAGCCTATAGAAACCAAACAAAATCAACCCCCATCAATTTGTTGCATTACATGAAGTGTCACGTTTTTTAAAAACTTCTAAAAGATCCTAATCTTCATCTGATGCGAGTGTTCAACATTTAAACTTTTTCTCTCATAAGTGCTCTACGTATATTTTAACACATACAAAAATACTGAGTGCATCTTTATGAAAGCAAGGCATCACTTACAAATACTCCAGTGAGTTTGTCCAGCATCCAGTGTTTAGGAGCTGCGACGCGCTTCAGATGCTTCTTCGGTCCTCGAGCCTGAAAAAGAAACCATTTAATCAGTTTTAAAGAGAATACCAGCCCATACAATATAAATGCATAACATACAACGTTAGTCCTACACCATGATGGACACCGACTCAGCCAGGCTAGGCCTTTAGATTCCTTCTTGCTACTTAAATACGTAAAGCGTGCTATTTGAAACGTACAAGATGTGTAAATACCACTATCTATAGATTAAAAGTGTAGTAAAACCAGCGAACCCGTTTAAAAACTTACATTTCAACCAAAATCTAACAGGGAACCCACTCTACCGATAAAGACAGACCGCGGTTGTGCTCAGCATTTTCCGTTAAACTTTTAATCATTCCATCTGCACTTTAACAAGACAATTTGTGTGTTGTTCATCTTATACGGGATAAAAGAGCAGTATTTGGAACACAAATTAAATACTTTGCTCTATTTAAACGTTGATGAAAGTGGATTATTTTGGAAGGGTCTCGTGAATGAAATGCACTCACCATGTTGAAGTCTGGGGAAAAGGACCAGCCACTTCCTGTCAGCGGAAGATAAGCTGAACTACCGGTGCCGAAGGAGGACAATCTGAGCTTCGCCTAGAAGCTGTACGAGTGCCATCAAGCGGGGAGGTCTGGAATCACACTCTAAACCCAGCATTGGTACTGTGACATGCGATGCATCCGTTTACATTGTGTATTTCTAATACAGAATATCTCTTTGCCTTCTTCGAAATTTGTATCGATGTCATAACTATGTTTCTTCAAGTACAGGTCGTACTCCCTCATTTCTCATTATACTAGGCTTGGCTACTACGTCATGTCAACATCACTATATTGGATAAAAAAATCGTCTTTGTTAAGATGTTCAGTTCATTGTATTATTTTATCACAATATCACAACTTAGTGTACATCAGGGTGAATTTTAACTAATTTGACTACTTTGGTCTCTAGGGCTATGATAAAAATGGGAAATTTATTAGGAAATTACTGCTGTTTATTTATTTATTATTAGGCTATTATTATTATTTTTATGTCCCACACTTTCTCAAATAAAATTATTTCAAGCAAAACATGTTTGGGAATAGCCTATTATTTTCATTAGTATTTTTTTTTTCTTGTGCTCTATTTTCTTGTTTTGTTTTTAATTTCCATCCTTTTAGACTTTTGTAAAATCTCTTACAAAAGCCAGTTCCTTGAATCTACACGAATGACATTTAGCAGTGGGTTTGATAAATTGTGATGTTTTGTGGTAGCCTATTACTACATTCCATAGGGCAAAACAGCGCTTGATGCATGTTTGAGTTTTAACTGTAAAATTTGTCAGTGCCATTGTTTTATCTCAAGATGCACACCATAATGTTTTTATATATTTTTTTCTGAGGCATGCTTATAAAAGCTACTTAATAAATTAATTGAACTAAGGCCTAATTCTGGCTTTATCTAAGTCCTGTGAAACCAGGGCAGGCCTATGTTTTAATTGTTCAAATTAATAAACAATTGCTTGAAAAATCCAGGATGTGAAGCAGGGCTGCTGTGCTAGCAGAAACATAAAGGATAGTCATCCACTAATCACTAAACAATGGCTTGAATACCTTAACCTTTCTGTGCACTGTTTGGGTCTTGAATGCAGTTTCTCCTCTTGGTCATTGATAGCTATATTTTATTTGTCATTGTCCGTTTGCTTTATGAATGCTGCTCATTAAATTAAATATCATGTATCCCTTGATTTTAAGCATTTCGTCTTGAGTAACGTATAGATGCAAGTTAAGGAGAATTAAATTCACCATGAACTGATGTTTCAACAAGGGTTGATGTATTTATTGCGCTGGCCACTAGAGGCCAGTACTGACCAGTTAGTCATCTTCACTGCCTAGCTTGGGCGGGGTTTGTCATTTACTGTCTATGGATCTAACTGAGAATGCTCGGTTACAGGAATGTGATCATGTGAGTTTTATAAACAGGTTTATATTCCATCTCAGTTGTTACCAATTTCCTACCTATTGTTCTTAAATTACAAAGCAGTGCAAAGTGTTTTGCTTGTTAATGTGGAATTCAGTAAAGTGTTTTTTATGGGAAAGAAAAACAAGGTGATGTGCTTGATTTTACTTTATTTTTTCACATTTAGAAAGAAAAAAAAAACAGAAAAGTACACACTTTTAAATATAATATGGTAATAACTTTTGTAGAAAAATAAATGGATGAAAAAAGTGCTAAACGAAAAATCTTTGATTAAGGTTCAGTAAGTCACAAATTTCAAAAACAGTAAAGTAAAATGACAAAGAAAATCATCTGACAGAAAGCACTATTCAATGGGTAATCAAATGCATTTAAAGCACGCACAATGTTTAACATATTAGTGGATTTTGGACATGGCCTGCATAGATCTACATTACAATTAACTTATATTCGATCAGCCTACAATACAACACAAAAAGAACAGAACTAAAGTAAATTGAGAGAGAGAGAAAAAAAGTAGGCAATACTTTTTTTTGGATGAATATTGATAAGTGCATGAATCAATTATCTCTGGACAAAAATATCAAATTAAGGCCATCAGACCACGCAGGTTGACTTGTGGGGTAAACGGACACGTCTCATTAATATATTTAACCATGGAAAACCTTCAGCCAGGTCGAGTTCCTCTGTGACCAGCGAGGCTTGCGATGACACAGCTTCTCGAGGGAATCTCACAAATTATGGGGGGGCTCAGCTGAGCGCACCAGTTTCACATTCACCTTCCATTACACACATGTAATACCATCCCACAGTTTAGTGTCGGACCAAGTTAGGACAATAGGCAGCGGGCAGGAGTAGCCCTGTTCTCTACAAACCATATTTGCTGTGGATCTCTTCCTCCTTCACCCTCACATTGAAGTGACTATTAAAATCCATTCCACATATCAAGATGTGGGATTCATAAGGGTGTGAACGAGCTTTGGAAAAATAGACGTCCCTAAGGCAGCGGAAAACATCTTAAGGATGGCCGTTTTGGTATGCAAGCTTAGTCCTCTGACTTTTGAAAATGTCTGAGATTCTTCCTCCACAAGAAGAATCATACTCTCCCGAACAAACCAACACCAGTCTGCCCTCCAAAACTGTAAATAACAGCTCTTGACAGTTCAGATCTGACAGTTTTTATAGGCACAGTTAATGGCCATTCATTTGATGCTTTGATTTTAAAGACGCAGGAGATTTGGTAGCACCCTGGAGGGTCAGCAGCCAGCTGGCACATCCGCGATGAAGTCGAACTCATTCTGACCCAGCCATAGCTCTGGAAGCTCATTGGCACGGTCCAAACCCAGCTCCACCACTAGCGACATCAGAACTTCCTCATCGACCGGATCAGAATCAATGATCCCGGGTGCCTGAGCCGCACCAGGGGTGGCAATCTGTCCTGTGCCCAGCATGGTGGTGCCGTACCCCCGGCCGGGTCCGGTTGGAGCTGCAGAGGACAGATTCTGATAATGGCTGTTGAGTTTCTGGAGCTGCATGGAGGCTATGAGATGCTGGCCGGACTGCAGGCAGAAAGGCTGGGGCTTTCCCAGCACAGGGGAGCTGGGATGGAGAGCAGAGGAAGCGAACTGAGGGCTCGTCTTGCCTGAACCGGAGTAGTGCAGGAGGGAGAGAGAGTCACGGTCTTTCATGGTGAGAACACAGCAGGCTCTTTAGATGGACACACCTGAAGGAAAACATGACAACAATATGAAAGTCTAATAAAAATATCTTCTTTTGTGTTCCACGGAAAGGTATTTATACAGGTTTGGAACGACCGCTGGAATACACTACACAGATTTTAAAATATTAGCCATCATACACTTTGAAAAGGAAAACTGGGGATGTTCATGCGGGAACTGGAGGGAGTTTGTGAGTTGATGAAAAGCTACTTAAAGTACAAAGTTGACCAAAAAAAGAAAAAGAGAGTCACATACTAACCATACTTTCAAGTCATTCTGAAAACAAAACTCATGCAGAAATATGTGCCTCGTCACTAGGAGAAAAAAAAAAAAAAAAAAAAAAAAAAAAATCAAAATGTTTGATTTTTCCTCCAACTGGACAAATTCAGTCTGAAGCAAAAAAAAAAAAAAAAAAATCCAGCCTTGAATAATGAGTTTTAGTTTAACTATGCCATTAACTGAGATCACAATGCAAGAGTTTATCAATAGCTCAGAATGGCAGCAAGTCATATGACTTTCCAAGACCATTTGTAGAGATGAGCCATTCATAATCCGCTCATATGTGGGGTTAATTATTGAGTATGTGACAGGGCCCTTTGACTCCATACCCTTATGCGTCTCACATGTGCTCTTACACACGGAGGACAAGTAATGAGGCACTTAATCATATGTGCTGCTCCGCTCTTCTCTCAATCCCCACTTTAAGCCATTCCTTTGAGGGAAGGCATAATTGGTGAAAGCTGGCATGCAGCTGCAGTGGACCTCCAGCAATGAGCAACACACAGGCTCATCTCAGCGCCTCTTCCAGACATTGACAGCTGTAGGGCATTCATCTCCAGATCTTTGTGTTTAGCTCATTGTATTCATTATTCATGGCCTGGAAGCAGTCACATACAACACGATGAAACCTAAAACTTAATTAGACCAAGACAAATGTAAAACCGAACTTTGCGGTTATATGCATAGCCTAACTTCATGACTGGTGAAATATTCAGTGCATGAAGAGTTGAGTTACATTTAAGAATACATTATTTAAAGTTCATACAGATATAAGCATTTTCCAAAGCATCATTTATGTCACAATCTGTCTAGTGAACTACAGATAACTATATCACTAGCCAATGAGATGTTGCGGGTTGGTGTCAGTTAAACAGTCAAAACAAGATTAGAACATTATTGCTAAAATGTATTCAACTGATTTAAACAGCATGGTTTACAACCACTGCCTTATAGCTAAACGAAAACAGTGCGATATAATGTGTTGCGTCATATATATCCATTTTTAATATTCATTAACGAGTGTGGAAAATGTAGCCTTAATATTAGAAACAAAAAAATATGAAAGATAGCCTACTTTTATCAAAATCTTTCAGAATAATTATTAATTTGTCTTCGTGCGTCATTTAAACCGTAAACATGGGGCTAATTTAAAAGTTATTTGCACAATTGAAATGTAAAAATAAATAAAATAATTTCTTAATTTACTTTTTTTTCATATAATAACTTACCTTTACACGAGTAATGGTCAACTTGCCTTTGTGTTGCGAATCCAGTTTGACGAAAGACCAACTTTTTACAAATAATTTTTAATAATACTATATGGATTAAAATGGTGCTGCATGAAAACAAAGCTGTTGAAATAAGTCACTGCTGTATTTGGCAAGAACAGTTGCGAGGTTGACGCTGGACGTGAAGTTAGAGAAATGTTTCCAGTCCTGCTGCAGGAGAGGAGAGCACCCTCAATAAACTGTTACTGAATCAAAGGCATTAGCCTAAATACACACACTCGACGCTCTCAAGAGGGATCCGAGTCCGCTCACAAACATGGAATGGAGCATCTGCGGAGGCGGACTGAGAAAAGACGACGAAGTGTCAAGACAAACCGATCATTTAAAATGACAGCATTTGAAGGTTTAAATGACTCCAAAATTAATATTCTGTTAACATTATCGCAGCCTCATATTGTTTGAAAACAGTATTTTTCTACTTTTCTTCACTGTACTGGCACTAGTCCGTGATTTTGAAGAAAAATTATGTTTATTTGTATTAACATAGTGATATATATTTTTAAATGTCAATAATGTGGAAACATTATGTGTTTCAAATGGTATCAAAGTGGTGCCGATTAATCTTTTTTTACAGTCTATATGCGATTAATATGGGCTCCGTGTGCCAGACTGGAGTATTCTCCATGTTTTCTTTTCACCCTGCTAAAGTGCCTGCATAGGCTAATAGCCCACTTAATAATTATCATAAACACAAGACAGGCCATAATAAAGTAACATCGCTGGGACAATTAATCCCGAGTCGTACAGGTATTCTAAACAGAATATGGAAATAAAACCACAAATATTTTTTTTTCTTCAAATAAAGTTATTTTTGATAATTTCCCCTATAAAAATACAGCTGCAAAACGTAAAGGACAAAATGAGAACTTGTCACATTTGTCAATCTTCGCAGACTCAGAGAAACTTGAGCTGCTCGTCTCAATAATGACGAGAGCAGACGCCAAACGGCTGCTTTCTTTTCCGTTTTAACGGGTTTAAAGACCGCATCTGTCGTCATTCATGAAGACACTTCACATGTAGATTAGGAGGGAAGTGGCGGGTAAAGGAGCAGGGATGTGCTCTTCTCCTGTGGGAAACGTTATGCAAATGAGGACAAACGGTTTTGACATTCCCTTTGTTTGCCACATCTCAAGAACGAATGTCATAAAGGCTACTTTTGTATGGAGTAATGGGCCACACTCCAATACTTCATTTCAGTCCAGTACTGACACAATCTGCTTGTGCTTAATGGGGTGAATAGAAGATCAGACTGAGAGTGAACGGTTGACAACGTCGACAGATGAACACTTTGCATAAAATTCGTTGTGATGTCAAAAATAGAAGTAGATGAGCAGGTGTCAGTATACGAACGTCAACCAGTCCAGGCACGCGACGATCAAACAATAGCCTATGTGCTAACCTTATCTCAGGCAGTTTATAGGGGACAATGACACAAGGTGACTGGGATGTAGGCTACGACACATGTATGTAATAGGCCATTTCAGATATTCATGTGAAAACAAAACTGGTTAATTTATAAGTAAAATGTTCTACTTTTAATAAGACTTTAATTTTTACTTTAGAAATTAATCAGAAATTAAGAAATAGTCATTGTATGAATTGCTTTTTAATGGATTTGAATTAGTAGTATGTCATTGACCAAAAAATTTAGTCAAAAAAAAAAAAAATCAAACAAAATAATTTTTCAATCCTGTTTAGTTTTTCAAAAGGAACGTGCTTCAGAAAGCGCAGAGGAAAAAAGAATAGTCATGTATCACTGAGTAGACTGTTTGGTTCTACACACATTAGGGTTTTAATAGGGTGAGCCGTTGAAAATCAGTCCCGTCTCTCCACCTAATTCTGCAAGTTTTACGGCACTCTTTTGGTAGCATGGATCCGTTTATTGGACTAAAATGCAATAAGCCCCATCTCTCAAAGCTAATAAAGGACTTAATGAATCACACTTGGTGTGCCATTCAGAGAAAACTCTGCAACCAAGAATCTATAAAGATCATACTGAAAAGAGCAGGACTTCCACATGTGGCAGCCCCCACTGAAACACAAGAACAACACTCGCTGGAAGAAGAAAAAAAACCACACACACACACACACACAATTACTTTTTAAAAAAAGAATTTAATATATAACTGAAAAAAATGTATACAAAAATCAAAAGTTGATAGACAGCTTGAAAACATTTGACATTTTTGCTCACTCATAAAACAAGAAAATAAACGTGGTAAAGCAAAAGCAAAATAAAACATGAATGAATGAAGCCAGCTTAACTTGTAAATTGGTCAGTCTGCCCATTAAAGTTGATTTATCCAATCCATAACTGGTCAAGATATTGCAGTTAAGGTACAGGATGGTTTCATTAAGAAGGATGCAACCATAAAGAGTGACATTAGAGCATAAAGAGCGCCCTCGCAACATGTTGCACTCACACTTTGTTTCATCTGAAAATGTCTTTGAATTTTTGTAAAAAACACACACATTTTCCCAGATCCAACTTTGACTAAAACCGTTCAAATGTGGCAACACTGGTCCATCTCTGCATTTAAAACAATGTTCCCTGGAAACATTCAAGTAATGTTTTCCAAACTCCCTTCTGGCGATGGCTCCGACATACTGTCTTCATTAGAGGAACAGGGCCTGATTTGGAAACATGATCTGGGAACCCACTCCTAAACTACATTCTTCAGATTCCCTGTAAACAAGCAGGGAGGAGATAGAGAGGGGTACAGACAAATAAAATAAAAATTGGGTCAAAATGAATTTCAGAAAACATATTGAGAAATATTAATACAGTGATGGAGACAAGTGGTGTAATGAAATAAAAAATATACAGATGAAATCAGTGTCAAACCTAAATATCTACAGATATTTAAACATCTGTACAAAAGAATCAAATGGCACAATGACATGAATCGTAACAAAGCAGAGAGGTTGCCAATCAGGAAAAAACAGGATTTCCTATGACGTCTTTTGAGGAAGCACAAGTTATTCAAATATTTTTTTCAATCTAAATCAATTTACATGGATTTACAAACCACAATTTGCATTGGATTTGTGCCTTCCACTCACACAAACACTATACAGTTGAGCTGAAACAGGACGTCCCTTTTTGTTCTCACCAGCTGGTGTTTTGATAACATTATGGCTTGCTAATGAATTTGAATTTAAGGCACTAAAGGAAATCCTGGTTTTAAAAAGAAATCAATAGGAATCCATACAGTACAAGGCAAGTTTTTTTTTTTTTATCAAGCCAAAAATGTAATTCAATCTCACAATATTTTATAAAATCACGTCCTTTAAATTTGCATTAAAGGAGTAGTTCACTTTTGCTGATAATTTACTCACCCCCATGTCATCCAAGATGTCCATGTCTTTCTGTCTTCAGTCGAAAAGAGATTAAGGATTTTGATGAAAAAATTCCAGGATTTTTCTCCATATAATGCCTTGAACCAAACGGTTCAAGGTCCAAAAGACAGTTTCAGTGCAAACTGCAAACTGTTCAAAGGGCTTTAAACGATTCCAGACGATGAATAAGGGTCTTATCAAGCGAAACGATCGCTCATTTAATAAATAAATAACAAAGTTTAAGTTTTATAAGCTCAAATGCTCGCCTTGCTCTGTTCTGTGATGAGCGTTTGTGACTCTCCTGTTCGAACTCGTTCATCAAAATGAAAGAATCTTTTTTCGTGTCATTTGGTTCTTTCAACAAACGAAATGACCGAGTTGACTCTGGAAAAGATTCGTTCATTTTGAAGAACGAGTTCGAACAGGAGAGTCACGGGCGCGCATCACAGAACAGAGCAAGACGACCATTTGAGCTTATAAAACTTAAACTTTGTTATTATTTTTTTTTAAATGAGCGATCATTTCGCTTGATAAGACCCTTATTCATCGTCTGGAATCGTTTAAAACCCTTTGAACAGTTTGCAGTTTGTACTGAAAGTGTCTTTTGGACCTTGAACCGTTTGGTTCCCATTGAATTCCATTATATGGAGAAAAATGCTGGAATATTTTCATCAGAAACCTTAATTTATTTTCGACTGAAGAAAGAAAGACAGACATCTTGGATGACATGGGGGTGAGTAAAGTATCAGCAAAAGTTTTTTTTTTTTTTTAAGTGAACTACTCCTTTAACTGTTGAAGCTGAGAAACATTCAATAAATGCTAAGGCCACAATGGGCTCTATGCACGGTGGTATTTCCGGCGAAGGATTAAGGATGCTCGATAACTTCCGCCGATCAAAGAGTCCAATGCAATACCGAGAATTTATATTGAATTTTAAACTCCATGGTTATAATAAAGAAACGTTAGTCACAAAAACAGATAAAACAGACACCCCTCGTTGTGTTTATGCTTCTTTTTAAAATTATATTAAATAAACATAACTATATATAAAATTACATCTAAACATATGTACGTTTCGTTTCAAAGACGGGAGGACAGTAAATATTGAAGACTCTGCCATAATCCCGTTTTCTCCGGTTTTCCTCCGCTTTAATCTACACAACCGGAAATGGACGAGCATCCTTACGTCAAATGTGGAACTTATGCGTGCATATAGCCCAATTGTTATGAAACGTTGTGGCTCTTTCAAAACTGCATTCAAAAAAAAAAAGTCTCTTCATTTTGAGAGATTTAATCGGAAGCCATACATTTACAGAGACTTTTTTTAACACTATTTTTATGCACAACATGTTCCTTTGACTTTGAAGGTTGTGGTTCCCAAGGCCCTTGGAACTAATTTTCTGATTTGAAATGAGCAAGCTTTTCCCATCCTAAAACTCGAGCGGTTTCACAATAAGGAAACCGTAAATGTTTATGAACGCATGTACATTCAGCATTTAGCAGCTGTCCGATGACTGCCTGTCTACATCTTTCTGGCCAACATATGCATGTTCCTTTCAAATATTGATTGTTTTCAGGGATGGAATCAACAAAAATGTCCAGTTTGTTTGTAGTTGGCTACAATGTTCACAAACCGTACGGTCTCTATTAACACCCACTGTTTAAAATTATATGGCTTTCAAGCTGAGATGCATAAACTCAGCAGTATTTGCTCATCAGAACAGCCATGTATGGTGTTTACACATTTTTTTTGCTCCTTTTTCTCTCAGCGTTTTATAACGCAAGGCTGAGTGTCGTAAATGTTACCCAGATGTGCTTGGAAATTCTGGTAATGTGTAACAACTGCAAGCCTCTCTATTTATTACCTGCGTTAATCAATCGCGTATTATCAGAACAGCGCATGTTTGGGAAGGCACAGAGACCTCAGGTACCTCTCCTCACTCACACGGCACTCGCTCACTTCCTCTCATCCGCACAATTTCCTTTCCCTAATAAACGCAACGCTTACGTGACATAAGACCGTAAACAACCAGAGAGCACAACAGAAAATGGCTAATTAAATGGCTTAATTGATGTGAGCTACTCATTTGAAAGCTGGAGAATATGGGGGTGTGCAAGCTTGTTGAAAAACGACAGGGGAGACTTTAGAAAACCCTGCACTTGTGGTGTAATTTAGTGCCTAATAAAATCTCATCACAAACAATTACTTACATATTTGGAGTAAGTAATCCCAAACGTTTGACTTCAATTGACCAATGTGCTCCATTAATCTAATTAACAACAACAATTACCACAAAATAAGTGGCATGCCAGCCTACACCTTTTCACATGCCAAGTATAACACCACAGTTACCTGGCACATTTAAGCGTCATTGAATTTTAATACATCCTAAAATGTAACTTGTTCTTGTGATGGCAAAGCTGAATTTTCAGCATCATTACTCCAGTCTTCAGTGTCACATGATCTTTCTGATATCATTCTAATATGCTGATTGGCTGCTCAAGAAACACTTCTTATTATTATCAATGTTGAAAATGGTTGTGCTGCTTAAAATTTTGGTGGAAATTTTTGTGATTTTTTTTCAGGAACAGTGTTTAATGAATTTAATGCATCTTAACTGAATTAAAGAATACATTTCTTTCAAACAATTCTTACTGACCCCAATCTTTTGAACTCTTGCAGCGCAGATGCTTGTCTTTTCAACTCATTCAATTGCAGGAATGTACTCTAAGCATCTTACATAAGATTTGCCACGTACAAGTAAAATGACAGACAGATAATTGCTCCATCAAAATGCTAAAAACACCCAAAAACAATTATATCTGAGACATAGTTAGAGGTTTTGCATATAGCGCATTTCACACACCACACGTAAAACCCGTTTCAACATGGCAGAAGGCAAAATTATGCCTATATAAACACATTGGTTAACCTAAAGAAGCCATAAGTAGAGGAGTTTGTCCATTCTCATAAAACTGAGGATGTGATGTGTTGCGTGCAGCACAGTACACTTAACGTAGCTCCGTTAAGGTCATCTCGAAAGCTGACCTCAGTACAATATTTCACTCTGGAGTGACCCCCTCTAAGCAGAAGATATTAAAAGTCAAACTGATCTGGAATCTGTGCTCAAGTGTGATAGCTTGGCATAGAGCGGTCTTAAGAGATGGGTGGAAACCTTAAAATGGAAGTTGAGCAGTCTGCGCCTTAAGCCCTTTTTAATTAGAGCTGCGGGACAGAGCAAACACGTAGCACATGCTACACATACCGCATGGGCGCAGAAAATAAGCATGTTTGTCCCATACTGTTTAGGAAATAGACAGAACACCCATATTGCAAATAGAAATAAACAATGCTGAAGCAAAAGGAGTAAAAGTGATGCTTTCTTATGAATAAATCTTCTGAAAACCGATATCAATTATTTAGTGTTAAAGGACTGAATTCTGAGTTGACATACACAGACAATATGCCATAGTTTTTAAATCTCTTTCACACTTAATGTTTGGTCACACAGTGACATTTCAGTAAAATGTCATTGGAAAAAAGGTCCACTTTCTATTGTCAATAGTGTAGCGATGCATGATGCACAGCTTATACAGAAGTCACTTTGACCAACAGAAAGCTTCTTGGTTTCAATGCGGCAAATTCGGGAGACGAGCTTTTACACCAGCGAAATCTGCGCGGGGAACTTTTTCGCGCTCACGCGAAACTCCCAATCATGAGCATTCCATATTTAATTGGCTGGATATTGCCCGTGAGCAATGGTTTGCAATCTGATTCACACACAGTGGAGCACGCAAGTCTTAGAGGAGTAATTCACTTTTGAAAAAACTTTTGCTGATACTTTACTCACCCCAATGTCATCCAAAATGTCCATGTCATTCTTTCTTCAGTCAAAAAGAAAAGGTTTTTGATGAAAACATTCCAGGATTTTTCTCCACTTTACTGGGAACCAAACGGTTCAAAGTCCAAAAGACACTTTCAGTACAAACTGCAAACTGTTCAAAGGGCTTTAAACGATTCCAGATGATGAATAACGGTCTTATCTAGCAAAACGATCGCTCATTTAAAAAAACAAAAAAACAAAGTTTAAGTTTTATAAGCTCAAATGGTGACTCTCCTGTGCGAACTCGTTCATCAAAATGAATGAATCTTTTTTCGTGTCATTTGGTTCTTTCAACAAACGAAATTAACGAATGGACTCGATGAACGAGAAATGAACGAGATTTGTTCATTCGTTCGTTTTGCTTGATGACCCTTATTCATCGTCTGGAATCGTTTAAAGCTCTTTGAAAAGTTTGCACTGAAACTGTCTTTTGGACCCTGAACCGTTTGGTTCCCATTGAAGTCCATTATATGGAGAGAATCCTGGAATGTTGTCATCAAAAACCTTAATTTCTTTTCGACTGAAGAAAGAAAGACACGGACATCTCGGATGACATGGGGGTGAGTAAATTATCAGCAAGCTTTTTTTAACTTTTTTAACTTTAAAATGATCAAACAGAATGCAAATTTGCTCTTAAAAAAACAAGATTCAAAATATTGTAGTTATAATACAGTTGTTATTGTTATTGCTACAGTATGAAAAATATAACTGCAGACCTGCATCGCTGATGAATGAAAAATAAGACAGGGTCTTCAGTGCGAGACGTGGTGCAATGGTCAGAAGTCCGTTCAGTGCATGTTTACACAGAAAAATAATTAAAAGCAGTGGAGCTTACTGTAAACAGCTCCAACAGAGCTTGACATCTTTGCAAATCTCTTACATCAGTGCGTTCTGATCTTGTCCCAGTAATCTTTCCTCATCCATAGCATCATACCATTAATTAACTTTTTATCACGGAAAATTTACAGAACTGATTCACCAGTATTTGTGAAAATGTCCATTTCACACATGATCTCTAAATGGTATTTTAGACTGTATTTGTGAAAGGGGGCTAATGCGTAAAGCAACAAATGGGGTTCTAACCAAGTGTGATTCTAACTAAGCTGATCTGAAGGTGTCAGACTGTACTTGCTTCTCTTACGGTGAGGTGGTGGTGACCTCTGAAGGACCTTTAGGTAGACCTTTAGATCTGATGCCTTTTGTCAAGAAGAGAAAAGTGGAGAAGATGTTAGCCAGAGCAGGAGCCGGAGAGATAAGATCAATAAGAAATGTTTAGTCAGTTAAAACACCACATAGACTGAAGCTAAGGTGGAGCAGATGTGGCTAGGAGTACTGACACATTAAAACCCATGGGTTGAACACAAGTCAAGGGTGGTTTAAACAGGTCAGCTTCATCCCATGAGGAGTGAGGTGATAAGAACACAAACCGTCACTCTCGTCTCTCTCATAAACACGAGAGGGACACTTATTCCTTTAAAAGGATAGTTCATCGAAAATGAACATTCAAAATTCTAGCATCGTTTATCCACGATCAAAAAAGAAGACTATGAAAATCACTGGGTCCAAAGTTGACTTTAACCCCTTTGGCTTTCACGGTTGAAACATTCTTCAAAATATCTTCTTTTTTTCTTTTTGGCTTCTCTAAATTACATTTCTTCTTATTCACAAACAATGCCAATGTATTAAAATTCTGAACACAGCTTTTCCCTTTTCCCTGCCAGATTTTTACCCATTCACACAGATGTTTGAATGAGCTCAAGAGGAAAAAACTATTTTATTACATCCAAGGGGCATTTGAAATGTTCTCAACATAGCTTTGAAACATGTTTTGAGTCTTAAGACTTTTGTCCATGAAGAAGGTGAAAAGGCAAGAGTTTACTGAAACCTCGAATAAACACGAATACACGCATGCGCGCACACACACAGAGAGAGAGTTCAGCACAATAAAAATGCACTAAAACACAGTGATAACTTGTACTTGTAGGAAGAACAAAGAACAAAACCTTGAGTGAACAAAGGGATTAACCAGACACTTTGTCAAGGAAAGTTTGGATTAGTTTGGATAAGTGCGTGTCCTGCACGTACATGTGTGCAAATGTTCCTAGTTTAGGCTGTTCTCATTCTCATCCCAGCTTCTCTCCTGAGACTTCAGCTTCAAGTTCCTAAGAATGCTTTGCTTATTTGTTTACTGACGACTGGGAACATCAAACAGACATGTTTCTCTTTTCTACAGCTGAGGACAGCCAGTCACAGGGGACAACTGCGGTTTGTTTAAAGGTCTCCCTGGTCACTCGTGGGGGGTGGGACGCAAAGTTCTTGAAGAGGCTAGAGAGACAGCTGGATGAATGAATGAATAAATGAATGAATGGCACACCATCATATCTATCATCAATGGTTTTCTAAATAAACAGACCGTTACTTTGACTATTTTAACCAGCTTTGAAATGGACGAAAGTAATTCCATCTGTGGAAATGGTATTGGATTAAGTGTGGAGAAAGGGTGATATTCGGGTCCGGTGTTGTGTATGGTGAGGTATTGGTTGTTGTCATGGCAATTACCTTTGATGGTGCTGATGACCCGCTCCAGATGCTGGCTCTCGTTGCGGTCTGGTCGGCAGCTCGGGCTGATCTCTAGGGAATAATCTGGGCCGTATTCAGTGAAGTACTGGATTAGAGATGATAAAAAAATTACTTCAAATTAGCATCAAAATGGACAATTCTTCGATTTTTTTATAGAACTCTGCTGTGTATTATAAACAAATTATCCAACCACATTATTATTTTTTATATATTCATCTGTTTTAAAAGACTTTAAAAGAAATTTTGTGAGTATGAAGGTTTTGCTGCACCATGAATTTTCCCCCAAAATTAAGCTTCGTATGGCATTCCAAACCAATAGAATGCAAGTAAGATATTTAGAAAAATGCATGTTTTTCATCATGCAATCAAACTCATGAGGGTCCAGAGTTGATTAGGACCACATTGACTTTTTTATAAACAAAACCAATTGAAACATTCTTCAAAATATCTTCTTTGACTGTATGTTGCACAGAAGATGCCAGAATATTCCTTTTTGGGAAAACGACCTCCCTTTAAATAATTAATTACAGAAATTCAGAATACGTCGATCAAAATAGCATTATGTGTATGCTGCAAGCCAACATTTCTCAAGCTAGGACAGAGATTTGCTAATCAGTTTCACTAATGACCTTTTAATGCGATCAAGGTTTCCTTGAACAATTTTTCTCAGCTAGGAAGCAGCACATACTTGAGTAAATTTGGGAAGATTTAGTCATACTTCCACTTTCTTCCAAACACACACACATATACATAAACTCTTTTCAATGTTGGATAGCTAAGCTCTATCAGTGTCCTGATCCTTTAGATCAAAAAGTCAAGCCAAAAGCAGTTAAAGTTTCCCCTATCATGAATATGCTTCAATTAGCGATTCATTATGATTTTGAAATGGAAACTCTAGGACAGGCCAAAAAGACAGTCAGGCATGTTGCCTTGCTCATTCGAAAAACACGGTCTGCATTGTGTTGGTGGGGTGTCTGGTGTATAAACTGGATAGAGATCAGATTTGGTTGTATGCATGTTACATGCATTAGCTCAACTCTGCTTTCAATTACTATTTTGTTTATCCGGCTTACCTCCGGTCCCAATGTGCTCTAACATGTAATTTTGTGTGCTCTAACATGTAATCATGTAACATCTAACAATTTTTTTTTACGCGTATGTGCGCACATAGTTAGACAAATACTCATCCAGGAGAAGTTAATGAAAAAAAGGCTTTAGGTGCGTAGATCCAAAAACGTCTGGCATGTAAAAAAAAAAATTCTGCTACATGCACTTCTACTAATGCAATCTATTTGTTGTCTTATTAGTGCAAAAAACAATATGTGGGCTAGACAAGAACAAATTAGGACAAGTATTATTGCACACAAGGGCAATAAGAAAAAAAGACCAGAAACGTCCCATTGCACGTCACTTTAGTGAAATGACGCACTTAGTTTATGAAATGAACTTTGAAACTATAGAGCAAATAACACTCGTAGATGTGGGAATATGGAACGAAGACTTCTACAGAGAGAACGTAAAAGGATTTCTGAACTTAGATGTAAATATTCTGAAGGGATGAAGAAATAATACTGTTTTTTTTTTGTGAATGCTTATTTATTGACATTCACATGCATTTTTAAAGCTGCAGTCCATAGCTTTTTTGGGGTTACAAATTATCCAAAATACATATTTGAGAAAATATATAACCAGCCAGTGTGTGTCTCTGCTTGCCTTAGCTCGATTCAAAGAGGTAAGCTTGTAATAATGTTTTTAATTCCAGTGGTACCTGTGGTATTTTCCACGGGAGATTCGAACATGTCTTTGCGTCATTAGGTGACATTTGTACACATAAAGAAGAGTCTCGGCAAGTAAACTATTGCATGTGAGGATGTTGGAGGTGGAGATTTTTAACCTTTTCTCACAGCACTTGATATAATTAAACGCATCAATTTGATGACGGATCCAGGAAAGTTCAAACGACAATCACCAGAGACAACAGATTCACCCACTGTAAAATGCAGAAGACTTCGTTCAGATTTCGGAGAGGCTTCAGAAAAAAGAGACCTTAACTGGACCCATGCGAAAACAAGTATACATTTCGGAAGGACATTACATGTAGTCACGCAATGCTGACGTTAACAATTTGAGAACAAAGTATATTTGCACAGTTTTGCGTGATATGATAACTTATAAGCGATTGTTAGATTTAATCAGCACGATTTAATGTCAGAACCAGAACAAAGTTGGATGTTTCTTACTAGTTCAGATGACATTTTCCAGTGAAAATTATTATGTTGGTCATACTTCCAAAAAGAATAATCTGTGATTCTGAATGCCAGTATTGTCATCAGTGCGGCGACTGACAGCCTCACAGTCTCCTCAAACATGTGTTCATCCGCACAGTACGGTGTCGAGGGTGTTGAAGTACAATCCACGTAAAGTCGATAATTCCGCTAATGACTGCAATTGCAGATTTAAAACAGAGATGGCGACAAAGAGGAAAAACACAAGAGCTTTAAAGTCCCCATGAAATCAAAATTGACCATACTTACTCTGTTTGCCTAAATTGATCGTTTTGTGGTGAACAATTCATACACGCAAGTCAATCCACACAAAAAAAATTTTTGGCTTCGTAATCTTTAATCTAATTTTGAAAATTCTCCTCCCTTCTGCATTGGAGGACCTTGCCCGATGACGTAGGCTTTACGCTTTGGGTGTCTCCTTAACATCCATAACCACGCCCCTCCAACTGACAGCTCCATTTCAGAATGAAACACCCATTTTTCTAGATCCAATCAGGTGCTAGTTGGGGGAAAAAAGCCACGCCCACTATTTTGCCTCATTTAGTATTACGTTTCTCTCGGAAATACGTCACAACACTGGAGAAAAGTCGTTTGCAACTTCCGGTTCACGGGGACTTTAACAATGTCTATTTATTACAACATAAATTTCCAATACCACTTGATTAAACACTGACATATAAAAACAATTGAATTTATATATCTAAATATAGATACATAAATTAAATATAAATTCAACTGTTTTTGTATGTCAGTGTCAAGCAGCAACATTCTAATCTGAAACATGAAGCCTACCCGGAAGTGCGAAAAACTGCAATACATAGAAAATCCGCTAGAGGCCGGTCCCAAAAGGGAGCAAATGTCCATATACCCAATGTTAAAATGTCCATTTTCACAGCATAAATTCATGTTTCTACAGTTTGGTCCCATGGACTTTTATTGTAATCTTCAATATGTTCCTGACAACTGTGAGGGGGGTGAATTTTTTTCTAACTCGTTAGTTTAGATCGTATTTACATATAAACTGTATGACAATTAGGGCGGTTAACTTTGATTGACAGCTGAGAACGGGCTGCGACGAGTGAATTTGACGTCTCGGCCATGATCTGACACAACACATCATACCACCTCTGTATCCTTTCTGAACATTTGTATTTTGTATTTCCCAAGGTTTTCCAGTATGGCGCCACCCATACCCCCCATAAACAGCCTCAAACCCGTTCTTCAGAGAGTCTATGGGTGACGGCACAGACGCTTTGTCCATATTTTTTACAGTCTATGGTCAGTGTTTAATCAAGTGGTATTGGAAATTTCTGTTGTGATAAAACACTTATTGAGATTAATATAGAAAATTAACACTTAAATTGAGTTTTAAATTATGAGATTAATCAATGTCTAACAAGAATTTCTATGGTTAAGCTTTTAGAATTTTTAAATGCTTGTTTAATGAATGAATGTGAATGTATGTGTGTATTTTCGTGTAGTTGTAATGTTTGTGGCGAAGTCCGTCTGCGATGTATTATAATGATTACGGTAATAAGCTTGTACATTTGTGCAGGTGGATGCTTGGAAGCACAAGGCAATAATGAAGGGTTGAACCCAAAAACGTTGTGCTGCACATTGCACTTTAGTCTATTTGTGGCATCTGTATAATAAACTGATGCGAGCTCTTTGGCCTACAGTATATTTTGATGTGTGCATACAGAATTTGTTACAATGCTTTTAGTAAGCATTCCCACACACAGGACACCACAGTGTGCCACTTGTTTTCCCATGAACTCCACTTAATCTGAAACAGCAGTGTCCACATCTCTGTTTGGTTTGGACCACATTAGGATAACATTGGAACTTTTTTATTTAAAGGGTTAGCTCACCCAAAAATTTAAATTCTGTCATCAATAATTCACCTTCATATTGTTCCAAACACAACCCATAAGAGTTTAGTTAATCTTTGAAACACAAATGGAGATATTTTCATGAAACCTGAGAGATTTCTGTCCCTCCATTGAAAGTCAATTCCACCACAACTCTGATGTTTCAAAAAGACATTGTAATAATATTATCCATATGAATCGAGTGGTTTAATCCAAGGATGCTCAAACGTGCTTGACATGTGAGAACCAATTAGGTTTGTTCTCATGTGTCAAGCAAGTACAGGTTCAGCTTCCTTTTACCGTATTTGATGTGCTCTATGTATGTGCGTGATCCATGTTTATATGTGAATAAAAGCCTAAGTGTTTCTTCAGAAAATTCTTGGTTCATTTGGAATAGGTTTACAACGTCTTTATTTTAACTTTCTGAAGCATCAAAGTTTTAAAAAAAAAATGGCATTCAGTAGAGGGACAGAAATGTCATCATCCATGTTTCAAAAATTTGTATTGACTCCTCCTGTAGACCCTTCTGTGATAAATGTCCTGACCAACAACTTGGATCCCTTTTCCATATGATGTGGGGGAATGTGAAAAGGTAAAAAAGATTTGGAATGAGGTATGTGCTACCTTATCGAAAATCATTGAATATCCTATACCGGTGATCCTGTCTGTATTATTACTGAATGGTGATCCTCAGTTCGATTTCTCTAAACTGCAAAAAATTGTCTGGCTGGCCGGTTTCACATCTGCAAAAACTGATAGCTCAACAACACTGTATATACACTGATACATCCATGTGGCTGATTCAACTTCAGGACATTATAATGTTGGAAATATCCACAGCTCGGGTGAACTCGGCACAAATTTCTACAATAAAAATATGGACTATAGCCGAAGAGAAGATCTCCAAGTATATTGCGCAATAAGGACTT